AATTGCTTTACAAAGTGCTTCCATTAGCTGATCAAATTAAACCTTTTTTCCTCGCCAGTGTCTCATAAGCCATAAACGTCAGGCTCAGTCCTGCAGGCTCTGGCCTGGGGGGCAAGCCCGGCTCTGAGCATCGCTGTGAGATCGGCAGGCGCGGTCAAACTGATCTGGATCTGCCCAGCTTTCAGTATTTTGACCTTTCTCAGCGATTCTTGCTCACTTTACTTGGCTGCCGTTGTTTCTAAAGCTGTGCTTGGAAGGGACGCGGGGCCGGGTGGCGCATCCTGGCCAAGGGGCTGCTGGCCTCGGCGTGCGGGACCCTCGCCCACGGAGATGCTCCTGGGTGGCCTTGGTGTGTGGTACCCTCGCCCACGGAGATGCTCCTGGGCGGCCTCAGCGTGTGGTACCCTCACCCATGGAGATGCTCCTGGGTGGCCTCGGTGTGTGGGACCTTCGCCCCCCCTGCGTTTTTGGGGGCAATTGGAGCGAGTCCCGCCGAAGCCATGGAGATGCTCCTGGGTGGCCTCGGCGTGTGGGACCCTTGCCCATGGAGATGCTCCTGGGTGCCCTCGGTGCGTGGGACCCTTGCCCATGGAGGTGCTTTTGGGTGGCCTTAGGGTCCACGCAGTGCCATTTACCCTGACTGGTGCTCTGGGGGGACTCGCCAGCTGTGATGGGTCAGGCATTTACAGTGAGTGTCCGTGTCCTTTTATTTCCTTCACTCGCTTTATAATTAAACTGCGAAGCCGAGGAAGAGCGCTGGGTTTCAGAGCCTGGCTCTGTCTCATCTGACCTTGCTGGTGCCACGCTGCCTTTTGTTTGTAATCTCGGGCAAGAAGCAATGGAAAAAGGGTTTGATAGGAGACAAAAGCAAACAATAGCCTCGCTCCAAAGGTACGATGAATGGGATGTAATTGAATTCTTTGGTGAAGACATTGATTTGACCCTGTAAGACACATGGAGTGAATCATTAGGGGAATTACTTCACATCAAAATGCAGGGGTTTTTATCAGAGGGCTTTTATTGTGCCTATAGTTTTGTTTTTAATTATTTAATGACTTTGTGTCTTCTAGTGATAAATCTCTTTCTTCCCCCTTTTTTCAAAAGGACAAATGCTGTTGGTATGACAGAGGGGTGCGTGCCCGAGCAGCTGACGAGCACCGACGCTTCGTTAGCAGCCCTGCTCGTGCCCCAAGCACAGGCAGGCACCTGCTTTGAGAGAACATCTCGTGTCAACTGCTGTTAAAACATCAGCATCTGACCACTTCCAGATATATTTTTCCAATCTGCATATAGCACAAACTCTGCAGGAGTCAGTTTATTGCACGAAGCTGTGTGAGACGTGGTGTTTGGGAGGGAAATCTCCAGACCTGGGCTGCTCGCGGCGCATCTGACCCTGGATTTTTGGAGCGCCAACCGCTCCCAGCTGCGGCTCCTGTGGCTTCAGGGCTTCTCAGAAACCTCATCCTTGTATTTTGCCTCTCGCAGGTGGTGCTTCCCTCACCACAATGACGTATTTGAGAAAAACAGCTTTTTCTATTACTTGAGCTGCTTGGGCTCCCCCTTAGCTTGGTTTGGGCTTTGCTCGGAGGAGCTGCAGGTTTGCGTGCACGTGCTGCCCGCGTCATCTCTTTCTCAAAAAGCTTCTCCCTTCGCTCCTGCCTCCGACCTCGGAGCGTCTGCCGCTGCGCGCGGTGGCCGTCTGTTTGCTGCCGACCCTGGGTCCCACGGTGTGCTGGGAGTCCCCTGGGCGATGGACACTGGGTCGCACGGTTACAGAAAACAGAACATTTAAAGACCAGGATTGAAGGGGGGCTTGCTGCTGGCGGCAGGATCGAGGAGCCGGCAGCGTGGTGGCTCGAGGTGCTGAGCGCGCCGGCCCCTCCTTGCTGGTGATGCCGACATCCCGGTGAGGATGCAGTGCTCTGGATGACGGGTGGCAGGCAGGCGTGGGCAGGGCAAGTGGACGATGCGGGAGGTTTCTTGGGGTTCTTTGGGGTTTTCTGCCCCGTTTGCGTGCCAGTTGTTGTAATTCCGAGTACCCAGGGGCACAGGAGTCAGCAGCGAGGGTTTGCTGTCTCTGCTGCACGTGTTGATTCACAGCGCTGCCGTGAGCTAGGTTTTCCTTGTTATCCAAGGTATTTCCTCTGGAGCAGGGAAATCGGGCGGTAATACACCGTTAAGCAGAAGGCCTGGGGGAGCTCCAACCAACCCTAGTTGATGAGGATCTGTCTTTCATCCTGTTAGGAGAATAGAGTTACACCTTTTGAGTCGTCTGAAGATCAGCCTGGAGCGCTGCCGCAGCAGTGGTGGGGGCTCCCCGGCCGTCTCGGTACCACGGTGTGCGGTGCGGTGCGTCGCGTCGCCCGCGTGCCTGCGGCATCGTTCTGCAGCTTGTTCCTTGGTCCGCCCAAATCCGCGGCGCAGGCCCCGGCCAGCAGCGTGGGGACGCGTGTTCTGCCTCCCAACAGGAGCGTCGCGGTGCTCAGCTCCTCCCGCCGGGGCCGCTTTTGGGGTGAAGATGTCGAGCGTGCAGGGTATAGGCCAGCAGGAAGGCGATCAAGCCCTGGCTGAGGCTGATGCTCGTTTGCCTGAAACACTTTGGGTTTCTGTGCTACAGCAGTGTGTTTATTCAGCCACGGAAGCTAAAAATTGCTTTATTCTCCGTACGGCAAGGTGATTTTTAGTAGGAATAGGCAAATTCCCATGCTCGTCTGAGACCCCCCCAAACCTGCCTGGCTTTGCAGGATTTTGAGGGTGAATCCACCGGCTTGGTCTCTGTATTGAAGGGATTTGTCTCTGTCGATGCCTGCTCATAGAGACCCTCCGCCACCGGCGTGCGGGGCTCGGGCGTTGGAGAGGATGAGTCGGGAGCTCCCTCTGCGGCGTCCGCTGGTGCTTGTTCCAGAGCTCGCGTCGCTGTGAGGTGCGAGATGATGCTGGGCTGTGACGCAGCGAGTCGAGGACGTACGGTGGGATGGGTTGGGAGTAAAATTCTGCAGACCACAGCACATTTGGTGGAAATACTTTAAAAAAAAAAGCAGAGATCTTGTTTCATATTTTCTGAAGGATTTTAGTTGAAGAGTATTTTATGGGTTTTTACATATATAGATATCTGCATAACATCAGTGGCGGGCTCCTACAGCTCGCTCCCAGTGTCGAAGCTGTGAGTTAATGCTGCCTCGGGGGCTCTTGGGGGGAGCGATGGGCGATGCCTCCTTGGAGCCCAGTGGACTCCTGGGGCCGGACCTTTTGGCCGCGCAGTGTCCGAATTTTAAGCACTCGCGCCTGATTGGACTGCGGCCCCTGTAAAAGCGCGAGGCGCGGCGTGTTCCCGGGAAGGTCGTGAGTGCGGGCGCCGTGCCAGCGACTGCTGCCTCGGCGGAGGGCTGCGCCCTGTTATCTCGATAGCACATTTTACGCGGCAATTAGCCAGAAATTAAAAAGAGGCGTTTTTGGAGCTTCGTGTCGCTGCTCCTGGCTCATGTAGAAGCGGTGCCACGGTAGTCGTGGTCGTCCCCTGCTACGGTAATCGTCTAAAGATGCGGAGTCGGGCTTGGGAAGCGAGGGGTGCGGCAGTGGATTCTGGGAGAATTTATTTGCAGTGTAAACATGTTGGTTAGGAGTCATTAATATGACATTCACACAGCTCTAATAAAGTACATAACACGGGGATCTGGCACTGCTGCAATACCCGGAGGACATTAAGTGTGAGTCTTAAAACCAAGAGTATTGGAAACAAGATATTTTTACGTCTCGTTTGGGAGTAATATAATTGCATTTTGTGGCTCTAGCAGATGCTTGGGCCAGCTGGTTGGAGAGCATTGTGGATTTTTTTAGCTTTGGTACTATACAGCTACAACCCTTATATAGAGCTATCTTTAAAAAAAAAAAAAAAAAAGAAGAAAAAATCATCTCCTGGTCGAAAGCCCCATTTCTTGTGTGCGCATCGCCTCCGTGGCGGCGCAGCCTCTGGACGCTTCTGGTGCGTTCGCTCTGGAGGTTGAACTGTGCGTGGTTTTGGGGTCTAATTTGAGGCAATCAAACACCCAAGGCCACTTCACCGACCTTTTCTGCACGGCTTCCGCTATTGCAGGTCTCTCTGGGAGGGAGAGCCTCGGACCCAGCTGGGAGGCCATTTTTGGAAGAGAACCATCATACCCCCCTGTATTTCCGAGTATATCTTTGGGGGAAGCTTATTTCCAGCAGTCTGCGGGCTGCAACCCCAGGGGTCCTTGGCCATCTCTAGGTGCCGGGACGTCGCCGATGTGCCGACAGCAGCCATTGTAGTTGGGGACGGTCACCCATCTCCTGCCTCCTCCGGCGCGGACCACCCTGGTCTCTCCCGGGGCTGCCGACGATGCTCAGCCTGCCCGCGGTGTGGCTGCCCCCCGACCGCGCTGTGCCAAGGAAACGGATGGGTGGCCACCCCACGCTTGTCAGGCGTAGGCACAAGCGCTGCCGTGAATTATCTTGCTGGCGCCGATGATTTCCTGCAAACAAATCGGTTCTGATCTGGAAGTAATCACCCGTATCATTCCTGCAAGTGGGAGCGATGACTTATGTTGATGTCACCCGCTGGCTTTTTATGGCAACAATTAATAATTCAGTAATCCTCTCTGCAGTGATGCTGTTCTATTTATAAATATTTAATTTAGCTTCCCGTGTCCATGTTGGCGCTGCCCTCCCCTTTGCCTCCTGACGTAACGCCAGGCTCCCGGTGGTGGTAACCAAAGTTACCAGAAAATTGTCTGTGCTGGAAAATGTTAATGCCTTCCCTCGTTTGCATCTCTTCCTTGCGTTGTTCAAGTCTGGCTTTGGTGGTGTGAATACGAGCCTTGACCGGGTGCGCTATGCCAGTCAAAACCTGGCTTAAGCTGCAGACCGAACCCGGGGCTGGTGGCTCCTTGTCTCTGTTATAAAACTTCTCTGCTGTAGAACTTTCCGGTTTCCAGCGCAGCCATGCAAATAACCTTTTTTTTCTTTCTGCGTTTCTCTTTCAGGAAATTGCAGCTTATTTAATAACGTTTGAAAAGCATGAAGAATGGCTAACAACTTCCCCTAAAACAAGGTAACGTTGCTCACGCTTCGGCACATTGACTCATTCTTGCCGAGGACTTGACTCGCTCATCGATGCGTTGGCCACTGAGTGAGAACTCCCAGTCATGCTTGATGGCTTGTGACACCAAACCCTCATTAATTGACTTAATGAGCATTTTATTGAATGAAATCAGATTGATTAAAAATGGAGCAGCTGCAATCTTGACAGGTTAAAGTTTTAACCCGATTGCTCAGGATTTAATTGTGTCCCCCCAGATGAATGGATTGGAGCGCCTTCGCGCGAGGCTGCAGGCCATTCATCTTGGCAGTGCTCCCCACGGCCTCCAACTTGAAATAAATAAAAAAGCGCGACGCCCCCCCGTGCTCTGCCTGCTGAGCGTGCAGTCGCAGGGATTGTTGGCGTTCTGGTGTTTTGCTTGCTGGGGTTAAGTGTGTGATGGTGAGGAGATCCCAAAAAGCCGCATTAGCAGACGTGTTTGCAGTTTATTATTCAGTAAATGCCATGTCTTCTTCGCGCTGCCATAAATGTTTAACTCCTCCGCTCCCCTGGGAACTGGTACGTGAAGCTTCGGCTGCGGATCTCTTCCTGCCCTTTTGGCTGCGTTCATGCTCGCAAGTTGCCCTACGTCTCTCTAACGCAAGATAAGACTCTCGCTTTCTCATGTTTGGGGTTTTCTCTTTTTTCCTTTTCCCTAACCCACCTCTTCCCTATTAAGAAGGGCCGGGCTATCGGAGGGAGCCTGCTGGGACCAAGGTGGGACAAAAGCCTTTTTTAGCATCCCGCACCCCGTCGCTGTCCGCTGCAGAGACCCGGTGGCAGGGGTGTCCTGAGCAGCTCATTGCTGGGCTTGGCATCGCCTCCCTCTGTAATGAGCAGGGGCAGAAATTACAGTGAGATGCAGGATGGGTACTGAACCCAACAAACAGTGCAGATCAGTTCCCCGGGTGTTCCACAGCTCCCAGCCGAGGAGAGGATGGCGGTGGGGGAGGGCAGGGCAGCACCGCTGGGGCACAGAGAGGACCCGCTTCCCATGAAATACAGGGAAGAGGAGAGCTGTGTAACTTCAGTTTGTCCCAAACCCCAGTCTCTTCTGTGGTTTTGTGACATCTTTAAGTAACGCATTTGCTTGTCGTATCAAAACGTGTCTGTAACACCTGGAAAGGGAGACATTTGAGACCCAATTGCTTTCTGAAATGGTTCTCCAAGACCCAAAGGTGCCATGGTGGCTGAAGGGCCCTGAGAAAGGGCTTGTCCCTGGTGGCAGCGGGGGTCTCACCTGGCTGAGTGCACAGACGCGCTGTTTCGCCCCCCTTCCCGGCTGTGGGACAGCGGGTGCGTTGATAGCGTTAGAGAAGGATTGCTTCTGACCTGGCCACCCGAGTTCCAGAATTAACGCAAAATAATTTCTTGCTGCACCTTTGCCAGAGAAGCCTTTTAAGTGGTCAGAAAACTTATTAACTGGTCTGGGTATGCGTGGCGTCATTAAAGATAGGAGATTGTAAATGCTTTTGTAGCAGTGCCTTATGACTTTAAGAGTTTGGTTTGCTAAAGGCAATGCATGAAAATAATTTTCTGATTATTTTACATTACAATACCTTCCTCCCTTGTGCTTACACTTGAAAGGAAATAGTGGCCCAAGAGAAGGGAAGCAGTGACGGCCGTTCAAGGACCTGCTTAAATTGTTGCGTTTTCTTTTTTTTTTTTTTAATACAAAAATTAATTGGAAGAGTTAAATGCTGAGTTCATACAATCAGGGCTCTTGGTACTACAGAATTAATTACATCGATCCGGCACTGAACTGGAACACTCCCCGTTCTTTGTTTGCTGCTGTGGGTGCCACTAATTTCATCTCAGAAAATTAATAAAAATGAATTGCACCGCTGACACCTATGGAGTTTCTTAATAAATTGATGTATAGGGCGATCTGAGGAGTCGCCGCTAGACGGATCGCTGTAGTGGTCTCGGAGCGGTTGGAGGATGCCCTGTGGGAGCCGGCGGCTGTCGGAGCGCGGGGCTGGCGGTGGGCGCCGGCGGTGGGGTTTCGCTG